TGCCAATGGTGTATTTGACAGAACTAGAACAAATAGTCAAAATATTTATATGGAACCACAAAAGACTCCTAATAGCTACAGCAATCATGAGAAAGAAAAACAAGGTTGAAGGTATCACATTACATGACATCAAAGTATAATACAAGGCTATAGTAATTAAAACAGCATGGTACGGGCATAAAAACAGCCACAGATCAGTGGAACAGACTAGAGAGTCAAAAATAAACCTACACTTATATGATCAGTTAATACTTTCCAAAGAAGGCAAGAACATACAATGGAGTAAAGACAGTTTATTCAATAAATGGTGTTGGAAAAATCAGACAGATACATGCAAAAGAAACTAGACCACCTACTGACACCATATAAACAATAAACTAAAATTGGTTAAAGACTTAAATGTAAGGCTTGAAACCATAAAATTCCTAAAAGAAACCATCGGCAGTAAAATCTCTGACATTTCTTTTAGCAATATTTTTTTCTGATACATCTCGAGCAAGAAAAACAAAAGAAAAAGTAAACAAAAGGGACTGCATCAAACTAAAATGTTTTTGCACCACAAAGAAAACCATTAACAAAATGAAAAGACAACCCACTGAATGAGAGAACATATTCACCAATGATACAACTGATAAGGGGTTAATATCCAGAATTTAGGGACTTCTGGCCAAGATGGAGGCATAGGTAGACACACTGTGCCTCATACCACCAAGGTAGGCACAACAACAACTTAGAAACAGAATAGCAACCAGAACTGAGAGAAAATTGATCCGAATGTAAGTCGGACAACCAAGGAGTTAAAATAGACATGTTCACCCAGACTGGTAGGAGGGGTGGAGTTGGGCAGCCGGCTTGGGTCATGGCACCAAGAGCAGAGAGCTTTGGGACTGGGCGTGTAAGGCATCCGGAGCCCACAAGACTGCAGTGGGCGGATCCTGAGCTTGCAAGCAGCAGCTTGCAGACCCTGGCTGAGGGGTGGCAACCGGCAGACCCAGCAAGGCGGCGATTGTGAAGCAAGGCACTCCACACAACCCAGGATCCCAGTGCTGGGAAATAGAGCCTCGGGGCACTGATTGAAAACACCTATGGGGGTTGAGGCGCGGGGAGAGACTCCCAACCTCACAGGTCCTTGGAAAGTCCCATGGGGCGCACAAGCCCACCCACATGGGAATTGGCACCAGAGGGGCCCAGTTTGCTCGGGGGAAGCAGCGGAAGGGGCTGAGGTCCAACAGAGAGCGGAGCAAGTGCCATTGTCCCCTCTTGGACTCCGCCCCCACATACAACGTCACAATCCAGCAACCGGGGTGCCCCGCCCCGGTGAACACCTAAGGCTCTGCCCCTCATACGTAACAGGTGAGACCAGGCCAAAGGTGGGGGGGAAGATGGCTCAAACAGAATTGAAAGCCTCACAATCAGTACTTTTAAGCGACGGAGAGATAGCCAACCTATCAGATGAACAGTTCAAAGCACTGATGATCAGGATGCTCACAGAATTGGTTGATTTTGGTTGCAAATTAGATGAAAAAATGAAGGCTACCATAAGTGAAATGAAGAAAAATGCACACGGAACCAACAGTGACGGAATGAAAGCTGGGTCTTACATCAATGGAGTGGACCAGAATGAAGAAAAAAACATACAACTAGAAAAGAATAAAGAAATAAGAAGTAAAAAAAATGAGGAAAGGCTTAGGAACCTCCAGGACATCTTTAAATGTTCCAACATCCGAATTATAGGGGTACCAGAAGGAGAACAGGAAGAGCAACAAATGGAAAACTTATCTGAACAAATAATAAAGAACTTCCCCATTCTGACAAAGGAAATAGACTTCCAGGAAGTCCAGGAAGCTCAGAGAGTCCCAAAGAAGTTGGACCCAAGGAGGAACACACCAAGACACATCATAATTACATGAGCCAAGGTAAATATAAAAGAGAATCCTAGAAGCAGCAAGAGATAAGGAGACAGTAAGCTACAAAGGAGTTCCCATAATACCATCAGCTGATTCTCAAAAGAGACCTTAGAGGCAAGAAGGGGCTAGAAAGAAGTATTCCAAGTCATGAAAGGCAAGGACCTACATTCCAAATTGCTCTATCCAGCAAAGCTTTCATTTAAAATGGAAGGGCAGATCAAGTGCTTCTCAGATAAGGTCAAGTTCAAGGAGTTCATCATCGCCAAGCCCTTATTATATGAAATGTTAAAGGGACTTATCTAAGAAAAAGAAGATAAAAAACATGTATAGTAAAATGACAGCAAACTCACAATTATTAACGACCACACCTAAAACGAAAACAAATTAAGCAAACAACTAGAATAGGAACAGAACCACAGAAATGGAGATCACATGGAGGGTTAGCAACGGGAGTGGGAGGAGGAGAGAGGGGGGAAAAGGTACAGAGAATAAGTAGCATAGATGGTAGGTAGAAAATAGACACGGGGAGGGCAAGAATAGTATGGGAAATGTAGAAGCTAAAGAACTTATGACACTTGGACATGAACTAAAGGGGAGGAATGTGGGTGGGAGAGGGTGTGCAGGGTGGAGGGGAATGAAGGGGGGCAAATGGGACAACTGTAATAGCATAATCAATAAAATATATTTAAAAAATATCCAGAATTTACAAAGAACTCATACAACTTAACAGCACTCCCCCCCCCCCCCGCCCTCAATAATCCAATTATAAAATGGGCAAGGACCTGAATAAACACTTTTCCAAAGAGGACAAACAGATGGCCAATAATAGGCATATGAAAAGAACTCAAAATCACTAATCATCGGAGAAATGCAAATTAAAACCACAAGGAGATATCATCTCACACCTGTGAGAATGGCTGTTATCAATAAATCAGCAAACAGCAAGTGTTGGCGAGGATGTGGAGAAAGGGGACATATAAATATTGCAGAAGGGCAAGGAAATGAACGGGGCTGTAAGTGACACTGTACCTTCATACACACGTAAAGAGACAGTTCCCTCTTCAGTGCACAGTTGCTCTGTTCCATGTCCCCTGAAGACAAAGGTAACCTTCCTTTTTGTGCACCCCTGCCTCTTAAACATTCCTCTTTACTGAACCCATTGCATTATAATAAAACTGCTTTGGTGCTGCTTCCTGGACTCAACTACAAGCCCTACCCAGGGCAAGAGCAGTCTTTTCCTCATCTCTGACACACAACCAGTCTTGGGAATAGAGCAGGCATCCGTGAATGTTTGTCCAATCAATGAAAGGAAAATTGAGGGGAGAGGGGAGGGGTGGGTGGGCAACTTTGTACCAAAGTAGTTTGAAAGTATGAGGGAGAGTGGGCATCTGTAGTAATTTAGGAATCAGGCTAGACTAGTTTTTAAACTGGAGAAGTATATATACAAGGTCTGTCCAGAAGGTATCCAGCCATGTAATATGAAAAATAGAGACATTTATTGAAGAAGATACAAAAAACATCGTACATAGGACAATGACGCCTCAGTCTCCTTCAATGTAGGCACCTTAGGACCTCACACAGTTCCCTCAATTGCCATCAGCTGTCCTGTTGTATTTTCTTGAATCTCATCAATGTTGTGAAATCCATGCCCTTTCAAAGGTGATTTTAATTTTGGGAAAAAACAGAAGTCACAGGGTTCCAAATCTGGGCCGTAGAGGGGCTGAGTCACCTGGGTGATTTGATGTTTTGCCGAAAAACCTCTGCAGGAGATGTGATGCATGAGCGTGTGTATTCTCCTGATGAAGCTGCCAATTACCAGTTGCCCATAGCTCCAGCCTTCTGAATAATCCTAATACTTTCCACAGAGGAATGTTCAAGCTTAATGCAAAACTTGATGCAGCATGGTTGCTGTACTCAGTCATTTTGAATTCGAGATCCACACAGTCCACATAATCACCCAATGGGTCTATCGCCCCCACTGACTAGTACAGTGAAGTCATCATTGTTCACCCATGAGCATTCCAGTCCACTCCCCTCGGTGGCAAGGTTACATCGATATCCCACAAACTGATGTCCTTGTATTAATAATGGCTGGGCTTTTTCTGGACAGACCTTGTATGTCAGGGTATACAAGGTCTGTGTACCACCCCAAACTGAAACATATAGTCCTTGGATGTGGTTAAAAATTCCACTTTACCCCAGGGCAATCAGTTCACAGTTCACAGGCAACATATTAAACTTTCCAAGGTTAGTCTGCTCAGCAAGCACACCAACTATTGGAAACCTGATGGCCCTGCAGATTACCGGCCAGGATCAGCACAGAAGCCCAGATAGTTGGTGCACCTTTGGGTAGAGTTGAGCAGCTAGTTCTCCCAAGGACTGGTCAGGGCAGTTTGGGCCATCTCCTCTATCTCCGCCTTACCCACTGTCAGGTAAAATGTAGAGCAAGCTTGGAAGCTTGCTTCTCAGGCAAGAGGCCCCCATCTCAGAAAAGGGTAGAGACCAGACAACTGGAAACAGGGGTAAGCCAGGGCTCCACCACCAAGGCCCTGCCACCAAGGCCAGGCAAAAGGCCCTCTAGAGCGCTTGAAGTGTGGGGCATGAGAGACGGGAGGATGGAGACACCAGGGGTGGCGGAGCCTGGAGACTGGGACGACAGAGAGTCAGGAGGAAATGCTGAGGGAGCTACGAATCTGGCGGGGGAGGTTCTGTGGGTGTAACAGAAGGCCTGGAGAGGGATTACGGTCCACAAATTTGGGAGGAGCTGCGCTCTGGTGGGTTAGGAAAGCGGGGCAGAAACACGCGCGGCCCTGAGCGTGAGAAGGCCCTTGACCACTTGCACACGGGGTCCCGATTCCCCGCGTGCCGCGGCCTCGATTTTCAGGAACTGGCCCGCGGTGCCCGGGCCTGATGGGGTGCACGAGTCCGGGAGTCCCCGAGTGCGTCACGCAAAAAGGCGGCCCGGGAGCCAGGGGGTGTGACCGTAGATCTGGCGGCTGGCCAGTGCTCTCCTCCCGCGCTCCCGCCACTCCCCGCGCAACGCACAAGTGGGCGAGAGGCTCCCTTCCTCCGAGACCCTCCCCCCGGACTCACCTTCTTCCCTCCCCACTGGTTGGGCCCCAGAAACGGCTTCCCACAGGTGGCACGCCCTCTCGCGGTCGAATCGCAGCCCGTCCGGTTCCCGGCCCTCCCGCTCCTCCGAGCTTCTGTAGGGCCGGCCCCCTCCGCCGTCCTTGGCCTCCACCGTTCCCAACGCGGGATATTCCATCTTTCCCGCAAGCCCAAGCCCACGGAGAGTCGCTCTTGAACCTTGGTCTCGCGAGATGTGGTTGGGAGGGTGACTTTGCCTGGCTAGCAAATCTCGCGAGGTTGGGAGCCGCAGACTGTGCTGCGCGGTGCCGGGGCTGGCGGTTCTTTTGCCTGGTGGCTGCTGGGGTGCACGGATGGTCCGCTGTAGATTCAGTAGTTGGGCGGCAGGTTCCTAGCAGTCCCCTCCCTTCTGGACGGGCTCGTGCAGTCCTTGGCTCTGGGTTCGCACTTGGCTCACGGTCAGCCTTTGACACTTCTCATTTCGTTCTCGTTGAAGGCTGTGTGATGTGGGAATATTTTCCCTATCTCACTGGTAGGGCAATTGAGACCCAGAGCCTTGAAGTGACGTCTTCAAGAGCTCACCGCTGCCCTGACCGGTGTGCCTTACTTGGTTGGGCGTCTTCCACACAGCGAAAGGTTGCCTGTTGGATTCCTGGTCAGGGCACATGCCTGGGTTGCAGGTTTGGTCCCTGGTTCAGGCGTGATGCTTCTTGCATCAACATTTCTCTCCCTGTCTTCCTCCCTTCCCCTCCCTCTTCAAGTACATAACTAAAATTTTAAGAGGAAAAAAAGTTCACTACTAGTAAGTTAGTGGAAAAGCAGAACTCCATCTCCATAACTAAATAGGTACCATTTGCGTTCCAGCTGCTAATCCCCACCCCAGACCTCTCTGAATTCCTTTCTGATGTACGTGTCAATTCTGTAATTCTATTGGAGCCACCCTCTCTTGCCAAAGTTATTATTATAGAGTCTGCTGGTCCCTTCCTTTGCCCTTCAGGTATTCCCAGCACAGCAGCCCAGTGATCCTCTTGAAACAAGCCATATTATGACACCCTGGTGTTCAAACTCTTCAACACCTTTCTATCCCACTCTTCAAATAGCTCAAGACCTGAGTTTGGCCAACAGGATCCTACACACTCTGCCTTCCCTTAACCTCTCTGGCCTTACCTCCCACTGTGTTTGTTAGCCTCCAGCCCCTTCCTTCCTGTGCCAGTGACCCTGGCCTCCTGAAATGCATTTCCCCCATTTGTCCTCAGGGCTCAGCCTCTCTTCTTTGGCGAATGTATCTAAAATTTTACCTCACCGAACACACTTCACGTCCTTTCCTGCTTTATTTATTATTTTTAATTTATTTGTTTTCATAGAGAGAGGAAGGGAGGGAGGGAGAGAGAGAGAGAGAGGCATCCATTTGTTGTTCCACTTACGTATGCATTCATTGGTTGCTTCTTGTAAGTGCCCTGACTGAGGATGGAATCCACAACCTTGGCATATCAGGAGTATTCTCTAACCTCTAACCTGAGCTTCTTGGCCAGGGCATATTTGTTTTTCCCTCCTTAACACTTATCATTATCAGACATAGTTTGTTCTTTACTTTTTTTTTTATCTTATTGTTTGTTTCCCTACTAAAAGGCAAGACCCAAGAAAGCAGGGATTTTTGTGTATTTTTTCTCTCAGCTGAATTCCCATCACCTTGAAAGAGGGCCTGGACCCTCATAGGCGCATTTGAAATATTTTTGGACTGCCTGGCTGGCGTAGCTCAGTGGATTGAGCGCAGGCTGCGAACCAAAGTGTCGCAGGTTCGATTCCCAGCCAGGGTGCATGCCTGGGTTGCAGGCCATAACCTCCAGCAACCGCACATTGATGTTTCTCTCTCTCTATCTCCCTCCCTTCTCTCTCTAAAAACAAATAGAAATAAAATCTTAAAAAAAGAGAAATATTTGTGGACTGAATGAAACTTTTGAGGTAATTATCTTATTTCAACCTTATTTATGCAAATGTTTACTTAGGGTTAGATTGTTGTTTTGACCATTGGAATACAGTGGTGAACTAAACAGGGAGGCTCTGTTAGACTGTTTTTTTATTCTAGTGGAGGACAGTGTAATAAACAAGTAATAGATAGTAATAAATATGAAGGAGGAAAATGAAACAGGAATATACTTTTGGTGAATAATATGGGAGGAACATTGAGGTAGTTAGAGAAAGGCTCTAAAAAAATGACATTTTACCTAAGATCTCATCGATGAGAAGGGACCACCAAAGAGCTGGGAAAACTGGTCCAGGGAGAGGAGCAGCAGGTGCAAAAGCCCTGAAGCAGGAATGAACTTACTGTGTTGGGAGAACAGGAAAAAGAATAGTATGTTTGGAGCCCAGCGAACAAAGAGGAAAGGGGTAGCAGAGAAGGCCAAAGAGAGACAGATTTTTCTTACCTGAGATCACACAGCTCATCATTGGAATTGACTCATTTCTAATACAAGTATTCGGCACAATCTCTGTGTCAGGCCTCATGTTGGGCTCTGGAACTTCCAGTGCAACAGATGAGTAATGTCTGTGCAGCGCTTTTCAGGCCACGAAGCACCTTTAACCTTTGTTATAACATGTAATCCTTAAGGTGGTTCTCCAGTGAGTGATTTCTACGTATTCAACAATGAAGAAAATGACTGGGAGACTCGAACGTTTTATCGAGGTCACATAGCACAGTGACAGAACCTGTGCTTGAACACTGGTCCTCAGACTGCAAATCCATGTCCTTTTGCTAATGCCAGGTGACTAGCCTAAAGCCAACGGTTATATGCCCTTATTTATCTTAAGGAAAATTTCTAATTACTTAGATTTGCACAGCATGAGTTATTCAGCTAGAAATCACAACTGATAGAGGGCATTTTTGTTAAAGTCTCAGATCTAATGGATTTTTTTTTTAGCACACTATCCTGGGAGTGGAGTACTTAGGATGCTGTGCATATTAGAAAATAGCCTTCCTCCCCTCATTCTCAATCGCATTAAATGCTATTTATTCAAGGATTTAAATAAATAGAAATAATTTCTGTTCAATGAATGCCATCAAGGTTTGTCACCTGTGCCACTGAGACAGCATCCTGAGCTACAACTCTGAATGGCTGAACCACCCGCACTGTCACCAGTTTTCTGCTATTTATTTTATTTTATTTTTTTAAGATTTATTTATTTATTTTTAGAGAGGGAAGGGAGGGCGAAAAAGAGAGAGAGAGAGAGAAACATCAATGTGCGGTTGCTGGGGGCTGTGGCCTGTAACCCAGGCATGTGCCCTTGCTGGGAATTGAACCTGCGATACTTTGGTTCGCAGCCCGCGCTCAATCCACTAAGCTACGCCAGCCAGGGCTTTTTTATTTTTATGTTTAATGTATTTACTGATTATGCTATTATAGTTGTCCCATTTTTTTCTTCCCTCCTCTCCACCCTGTACACCCCCTCCCACCATCATTCCCCCCACCTTAGTTCATGTCCATGGGTCGTACATGTAAGTTCTTTGGCTTCTCCATTTCCCATACTACTCTTAACCTCCCCCTGTCTATTTTGTACCTACCATTTATGCTACTTATTCCCTGCACCTTCCCCCCTCCCCCTTTCCACTGATAACCCTCCATGTAATCTCTAGTTCTGTGAATCTGTTTCTACTCTAGTTGCTTGTTTAGTTTGTTTTTGTTTTTTTTAGGTTCAGTTGTTGACAGTTGTGAGTTTGCTGTCATTTTACTGTTCACATTTTTGATCTTCTTTTTTTAGATAAGTCCCTTTAACATTTCATATAATGAGGACTTGGTGATGATGAACTCCTTTAACTTGACCTTATCTGGGAAGCACTTGATCTGCCCTTCCATTCTAAATGATAGCTTTGCTGGATAGAGTCATCTTGGATGTAGGTCCTTGCTTTTCATGACTTGGAATACTTCTTTCCAGCCCCTTCTTGCCTACAAGGTCTCTCTTGAGAAATCAGCTGACAGTCTCATGGGAACTCCTTTGTAAGTAACTATCTCCTTTCCTCTGGCTGCTTTTAAGATTCTCTCCTTATTTTTAATCTTGGGTAATGTAATTATTAGGTGCCTTGGTGTGTTCCTCCTTGGGTTCAACTTCTTTGGGACTCTCTGAGCTTCCTGGACTTCCTGGAAATCTATTTCCTTTGTCAGATTGGGGAAGTTCTCCTGCACTATGTTTTCAAATAAGTTTTCAATTTCTTGCTCTTCCTCGTCTCCTTCTGGCACCCCTATGATTAGGATGTTGGAATATTTAAAGTTGTCTCAAATGTTCCTAAGCCTCTCCTCATTTTTTTGAATTCTTGTTTCTTTATCCTGTTCTGCTTGAATGTTTCTCTCTTCCTTCTGCTCCAAACCATTGATTTGAGTCCTGGTTTCCTTCCCTTCACTGTTGGTTCCCTGTACATTTTTCTTTATTTCACTTTTCATGGCCTTCACTTCTTCCTCTATTTTTTGACCATACTCAACTATTTCTGTGAGCATCCTCATTACCAGTGTTTTGAACTGTGCATCTGACAGGTTGTCTATCTCTTCATCACTTAGTTGTATTTTTTCTGGAGCTTTGATCTGTTCTTTCATTTGGGCCATTTTTTTTTGTCTTGGTACGCCAGTCCGGATGAATGTTTCCTCTTTAACTCTTTGGTTGCAAGCAAGGAGTATCTACCTACACCTCCATCTTGGCCAGAAGTCACCTCTGCTGCTGCATATTTTTGTTAAGTCCTTCCCATGATGCCTGCACCTGGATTCCTTGCTGGGAGCTGACAGTGCAGGTAGTGCAATGTATTTACAGGGCTGGCTTTTTATTTCTTCCCTGTGGGAAACAAGAACCATTTCTCAACATGTTCTGTGTATTGTTGCTGTGGGAGAAGACCAATCCCAAGGGAGCGGCTTTGCCGAGAGACAGGAATTGGCCACAGTTTAGCAGATGTTTCAGTTGGGTAAACACTGATTCTGTGTGTGTGCAGCTAACTCACACTGCAAAGCTCAATAAAATATAGTTTTTGCTCTCAGGGAGATTAAACTCTAGAGAAGAAAGTACCTACTATATACTTAACATCACAGAGTATGTGTTAACTGCTGTAATAGAAGTGACAACTGTTTTGATTGTACCTGGGATTTAATTTACAGAGGTGACTAAATGATGACATAGGAGTTCAATGACATTGAAAGTTTTTGTGTTTTTTAAATATGTAGAAATATTTTTAAAGTCATAT